TGAGGAACCTAGACGAGCAGTACGAGTCAACTAAAGCAGCAATTCGAAATTCTCTGACGATGCGTCAAAGGAATGTGAGAAGCAATGACTATGTGCATCATGAAGGGCCGAGGCTACAAGGAGCCCACAATTATCAAGTGGGAGCAGGACGAGGCAAAGGACCATGGAACACTTGGACTCGGAACCCCAGACTTATGACGACAAAGCATTCTGCGAACACCACCAGTGCTACATGCACTTGATGTTGGTGTGTGTCGAGGGTTGTCAAGTTTTACCCTAAATGAAATCAATAGCCGCAAGTGCACAGCTGATCGATTGTAGTACTTAGGGATCGAATCCACGGGGAAGGAGGATCTTTCCTGCAAAAGCCTTCGAAAGAAATATAAAGTAAGGAAGTTTAGAACCAGGCGAGTTTTGTGAGGGTTTTGGTGGTGGGTTTTAAAATTTAAAAACAAAATATAAAAAGAAACTACGGGAATTAAAATGACCTAATAACTAAACTTAGCGAAAACGAGTAAACATGAGAAAAACGGCTAAACCTAATTGCTTTAATAAAAATCGATTGAAAGGGAATGAAAATAGTGAACTAAAGCTTGAAATAAAACGGTGTGAATCTATAAGAAAAGAGAGTGCTGGGCTTCAGGGAAGTTTTCTCAGGGGTACGAACGATTCAAAACATTGCTAGAGAGTAAATTTGATAAGATCTTAGCTTAAACTTTTCGAACTGGAGTCACGGACGTATGAATACGCCACTGTCGTGATCATAGACAACTATCTCTCTCAACCCTGACCAGTAAGTTTCCACTCTGGCCCTGGAAAAGAAGAGATACATTATGTTTAAGACTCGTCAGCATTCACAAATCGCCCATAGGTAGGTTTCCACTCCTATGTTTGTTTTGCTCTCCCAAACTAGATCTGACACCGGATGAACACTTTCGTGTCACCAAGCATCTGGATCAGATTGTAGTTCATGATGCTACTCTCATGCAGTAAAAACGAATTCAGAAGAAAAAGTTCTAAGATTCGGCTCAAAAACTCATGGAATCCTCATCGAACATATAGATCCCCATCGAAAATCCCTTAATCCCAACAACAAAACTACTCAGACATGATGAACGAAATCAAAAACATAGTATTAAAAAGTAGAATAGAAACCGAAATTGAAAAAAAAAAGAACAAGGGTTCAAGAGACAAATCTCTCTCTCCCTAAAACCTAAAAACAAAGCTTAAAGTAAAATTTCTGTAAAGTATTTCGTCTCTCTTCTTCTCTTCTCAAAAATGACCTAAATGACATGTATTTATAGTCTCGAATACTCTCTGTGTCTATGGTTCCGGAATTGAGACTGGGAAAATTATACGGGCTTCAGTAAAATGGGCCTTCAAAGTCGGAGTTAGCTGGCCGCGGTCGGGAAGTGCGTGACTGCGGGGAATGGGTGGCTGGCCGCGGTCGCGGTGGTTGTGACCGCGGGGAATGGTCTGTTGGCCGCGGGTGGAAATGCTTGCCGGCTGGTTGACATCTTGCTCTTCTCTTATCTTTTGATTGAACCGTTGGATTGCCAAGCTGTAAAGTGTGCTGGAAAGCTGATACTTACATCTTTAAGATCTCTAAATTTGAGCTGGATCAGACGGTGAGAAGGCCCAATCGGAGGTGAACTTCTGGCAGTTTGACTCTGAGCTGAAATCTGGTTTTCTATCCATTTTGTTAAGCTTTTCCCAAAGTTACCTGAAAAGAGTCTTGGAACTACAAATACTAGAAAAACGTAATAAAAGTACTTAAAAGCAATTAAAAACATGGAAAAAATATTTCAAAACGATCCATAAAAGTGGTCAAAATACGGTGTTATCAACTCCCCCAGACTTAAACCTTTGTTTGTCCTCAAACAAAGCAAAAGCCTAAACTGGTTAAGTGAAAACACAAATAGGGAATGCACAAATCTCAGAGACATGAACTCCTAAACTAGGACCAAAGATACTGCATCAATGCACAACTTAGTCTAGAAAATTCTCACCAATACACAAAAGATACTAGTCCACTTTTTCCGTCATGCAAAATTTAAACAATCTAAATCTTGATTCCAGTTAACTAGCTCTCTACATTCATTAAGTTCAATAGTGAGTTCTCATTAAAGATATCATCCAGGGTAGACGGCGTTTGGCATTAAAGGGCTGTTTAAATGGTATAGTTAAAGTGTTTCGGGTTACCTGAAGATCTGGAGGATGCTAGATAATATGCAAAACCGCAAGAGAGAAAAGGACCTGTTGATGACCACAATTTTCAGTCACTTCTTCTTGCCAAATGTTGTTGCATAATCCTTCCTCCCTTGTTGTAAACAGCTACTCCCCCAGACTTAGATTCTTTCTGGGAATCAGAAAATGATCTCCAAAACTCCATAAAATCGAACTCCAGTTGCCTTGGGACATAAAATTCGACTTCTCTAGACTCTCTAAGGCTTTTATTTCCTTTCTTTTCTTATTTTCGGATTTCCTTTTTTTTTTGTTTTATAAAGGAAATTCCTTTTAAAGAGAGAGAGACTAGAGGACGAGATTGTACCAAAATTTGAGATTTTTCTAAGGCAAAGTGAGCTTTCTCTTGTGTTGAATCCTTCCGGGAAATTTTCCGGCAAATCACAGGTCTCTGTCCTTGGTGACTAAAAACTGCGCCGTTCCTCTTTCTCTCCAACGTTTTTGCACTTATCTGCATATAAGTTAATAGAAAACAAGAGTGCATGTGGTTTGAAAGAGGATTGGTTCACGATCAGCAGAGAGTGGTAAAAGGATAAAGGAGTCCTGAATGTATGATTCGTTTCCCTGGTCTAATGCTTCAATGAGAAAGTTAAGTCCAAATTAAGTCAAAATAAAACAGAGCTAGTGTATCCCTTCATCTAAATCGAAATCATTCAAATTCCTCTGGGGTACTTCGTTTCAAATGTGCTTAGCTACCGCCTAGTCTAGTCCTAAATCATGAATGAGCATGTCACTAGGAACAGTCTAAAAGCCCACAGTCAATTATCATTGATTCATGTTCACCATTCCCTTTTAAAACGTATTTTGTTTTGAAAACCAATTTTTAAAAAATTAAAGGAAAATGCAAAAAGTGTAGATAATGCAAGACTCATGAAAGAAAAGTGGTTAGAAAGGGATGAAATCCTCCCCCAGACTTAAATCACACTGTCCTCAGTGTGAAACAAGTCGAGATAGGATGAGAAAAATGGATAGATAATCGAATTGGTAAGGCCAAAGAGACCTTATCTGGATCCGAGATGCTGGTGGTGATGGACCGGATTCATTCGAGGAGGTTTGGGAAGGGGATAGGTGGTGATGAATGTGGTGGAGGGTGATGAATGAGGTGGAGTGGAGATTGGTGAGGTGGAATGAGGTGAAGTGGGTGGTTTGGGGTCGGGTTTGATCTCAACGACCATTTATCGCGGTCAGGAGCCACGCGACCGCGGCAAACTGGTGCTCGGCCGAGGTCAGAAAGACGCGGCCGCGCTCTAACCGCGGGGGCTTATATCGCGGCTTGTTCCTGCTTCTCCTTGGTTCCTGCCGGGCCGAGCAGTCAGGGACCATCCTTCTTATTGGTTTTTTCGGGTTTTTTGATTTTTTTTTGGCTTTTTGTTTTATAAGAAACACCTGAAACTAAGAAATAGAAAAAAATCAAAATAAAAAGAAAGAAAATTCCTAAAGAAAACAATACCTAAATGGGTTGCCTCCCATTAAGCGCTTTTGTCTTAAGTCGTTTAGCTCGACTTTGGTTTTGGACATTGCTTAGTCTTTATAAGGCAATGTCTTGGGACAAGTCTTCTTTGTTTTTCCTTGTCTATCCTTTGAATATCCCTTATAACGCCATTCCCAAATAGAAATTTTGTCCTTAGGTTTGAGATGGTAGTCTCCTCCACGATCAAAAATCGGTCTTGGAGCTCCTTTGAGGCATGAGTCTTCAACACCACTTGTGATAGGAGAACGTCTTAGATGCTTGTATGATGAGGTGAATAAGGTCTCTCTCACTTCATGACATTGAACCATGTTGCAAGATACAAGGACAGATGATTCTTTATGATCTGAAGTGGTGGAGATGGTTAAGCATCCAAGGTGAGGACAATTTGGTTGGAGAGGTGTCGCCATGGCTTGAACTGTCCAAGGGTCGGTATAAAGAGCATTCTCCGCGGGTGGAAGTGTCGCGACCGCGGGGAAAGGAGGTTTGGCTGCGGGTGCAAGTGTCATGATCGCGGAAAAACATGGGTTGGCCGCTGGTAGCGCACACGCGACCACGGTGCCGAATGTCCTATGAGAGATGTACAGACCCTCTTGCTTTTTGTCTCCAATTCTTTTTCCTTGTGGATAGTCTTCACAAAAGAGTCTTAAGAGCCATTTAAGCTTCACTCTTGCTTCAATTAAGTCTCCATCACCTCTCATATGAGTTTTAGTCGAAGGTATACATAAGGAAGAGCCTTTGTTGATCAAGCTTGTAAATCCGGCGTTTTCTTTGGGTGCTCTTCTTTCTAGAACGTATCCAACATCCTTTGTAGCTCCTCCAGGGTCAAATATTGGATCTTCTATGCTGCCTATGATCTAACAATGAGAGTTCCTTGTAGTAATCACCGGATATGGGGTTTTCTTGTTGATCTTCAGGAAACTCATATGTTGATGCAGGTAGTTGATGAGTGTTCCAACAGATGCTAGGAATGAAGTACCAAGTATCAAGGGTTTTGTTGCATTGTTTATCATCTCCATAGCATGGGAACCAGTAGAAAAAGGACAACATTTCCCTTGAAAAGGCAATTCTGGTTTGGAACCAAGTAGAGCTGCACCAGAAAAATCTCCATAGTGAATATAAATCTTAGAGGGATGAAAAATCGAAATACCTATATTCTCTGCAATGGCCTTTGGTATGAGATTCACAGCAGGTCCAATATCACAAAGAGAATCACGAAATTTCACTTCCTTGATTGAGAATGGGGCATCAAACTTCTCGGAATCCTTCGTCTTAGAAAGCGCCTCCAATGGTGGTTTTGATGTCACCATTAGTGTCTCATCTTCCACGTGGTCTGTCTTACAGTCAAGGTGGTGAGGAGCTGAAGGAGAAAAAGGCTTTGGTTCATCAAGAGGAAGGGACTGATGATCTTGTTTGTCGTCTCTAAAACACTTGAATGAATCGGTAGAGACAAGATCGTCACTAGGGATAGAAATAGGTTCTCCTTTTTCTTGATGACTGGCTTCCATGACGTGAAGATCCAAAGAAATTTCATTTGATGGCCTCTTTATAACGAACTTGATGGAGGATTCTCCATCTACTTCACAAGATACCCAATACCCATCATCCATAGATTCATTGAGCTCCTGAAGCATATCATCAATCTCGGTTTGGGAGACAGACGACATATCTTCATCATTGTAAGTTGAATAAGGGTCGTGGTCCCAGTAGAATCCTTGTTCCTCTAAACATTTGCGAATTGATTTGTTGTGGCTGAGAAGTCCTCTTGTGTGGTGGTTCGGGATTGAATTCTGATCCATTGAGGAGAGATCACAAATGTATTGTGCTTCTCGGCGTCGAGTGGCTTGAAGAGTGTTGTAAAAACCTCCCTCATAGTAGTAATTTTGTTTCATATGGTTCATTGCTTCATAACCTGAAACAAGAAGAACCAAAAACAAAAAAAAAGTATAAAAGGTGTTCTAGAGTCGATTTACCAACCTTTCTTAGGGTTTTGCGGAAAAGAAACGCGTGCCTTCCCTGGCAACGGCGCCAAAAACTTGATGTTGGTGTGTGTCGAGGGTTGTCAAGTTTTACCCTAAATGAAATCAATAGCCGCAAGTGCACAGCTGATCGATTGTAGTACTTAGGGATCGAATCCACAGGGAAAGAGGATCTTTCCTGCAAAAGCCTTCGAAAGAAATTTAAAGTAAGGAAGTCTAGAACCAGGCGAGTTTTGTGAGGGTTTTGGTGGTGTGTTTAAAATGTAAAAATGAAATCTAAAAAGAAACAACGGGAATTAAAATGACCTAATAACTAAACTTAGCGAAAACGAGTAAAAATGAGAAAATGGCTAAACCTAATTGCTTTAATAAAAATCGATTGAAAGGGAATGAAAATAGTAAACTAAAGCTTGAAATAAAACGGTGTGAATCTATAAGAAAAGAGAGTGCTGGGCTTCAGGGAAGTTTTCTCAGGGGTACGAACGATTCAAAACATTGCTAGAGAGTAAATTTGATAAGATCTTAGCTTAAACTTTTCGAACTGGAGTCACGGACGTATGAATACGCCACTGTCGTGATCATAGACAACTATCTCTCTCAACCCTGACCAGTAGGTTTCCACTCTGGCCCTGGAAAAGAAGAGATGCATTATGTTTAAGACTCGTCAGCATTCACAAATCGCCCATAGGTAGGTTTCCACTCCTATGTTTGTTTTGCTCTACCAAACTAGATCTGACACCGGATGAACACTTTCGTGTCACCAAGCATCTGGATCAGATTGTAGTTCATGACGCTACTCTCATGCAGTAAAAACGAATTCAGAAGAAAAAGTTCTAAGATTCGGCTTAAAAGCTCATGGAATCCTCATCGAACATATAGATCCCCATCAAAAATCCCTTAATCCCAACAATAAAACTACTCAGACATGATGAACGAAATCAAAAACATAGTATTAAAAAGTAGAATAGAAACCGAAATTGAAAAAGAAAGAACAAGGGTTCAAGAGACAAATCTCTCTCTCCCTAAAACCTAAAAACAAAGCTTAAAGTAAAATTTCTGTAAAGTATTTCGTCTCTCTTCTTCTCTCCTCAAAAACGACCTAAATGACATGTATTTATAGTCTCCAATACTCTCTGGTGTCTAGGGTTCCGGAATTGAGGCTGAGAAAATGATACGGGCTTCAGAAATGGGTCTTCAAAGTCGGAGTTAGCTGGCCGCGGTCAGGAAGTGCGTGACCGAGGGGAATGGGTGGCTGGCCGCGGTCGCGGTGGTTGTGACCCCGGGGAATGGTCTGTTGGCCGCAGGTGGATACGCTTGCCGGCTGGTTTACGAGACATCTTGCTCTTCGCGTATCTTTTGATTGAACCGTTGGATTGCCAAGCTGTAAAATGTGCTGGAAAGCTGATACTTCCATCTTTAAGATCTCCAAATTTGAGCTGGATCAGACGGTGAGAAGGCCTTCAATAGGAGGTGAACTTCTGACGGTTTGACTCGTAGCTGAAATCTGGTTTTCTATCCATTTTGTTAAGTTTTTCCCAAAGTTACCTGAAAAGAGTCTTGGAACTACAAATACTAGAAAAACGTAATAAAAGTACTTAAAAGCAATTAAAAACATAGAAAAAGTATTTCAAAACGATCCATAAAAGTGGTCAAAATACGGTGTTATCAGCACTCAACAGCAAACTGTCGGTTCTTGGCCGCCAGACTCGCCGCAAAGCGAACAGCAGGAGTGCCTGAAGAAACCGCAGCTGCAAAGGAACCCAAAGACGAGAAGCGAGAAGGTGAAAAAGTTAACCCCCCGAACCAGGAGCAAGGAAACCGAGGCGAAGACCAAAAGCAAGGAAGGAGGAATAACGAGGATCCGCGAGATGACCCCAGAAGAAGGATCAATATGATAATGGGTGGATTGCAATACTGTCTCGGCACCGTATCGTTGATTAAAGCTTTCCAGCGGAGAGCCGATGCAAGTGTTACCTGGGCGGAGCCTCTGAGCTATCCCGCTACAACAATCTCGTTTTCGGAAGACGAAACAGTGGGAATCGACACACCACATAGTGATCCCCTCATGATCGAGCTTACTATTAGGGATCACGATGTCGCCAGAATATTAATTGATACAGGAAGCTCGGTAGACGTTATCTTCCGCGAAACCCTTAGGAGGATGGAAATCGATTTGTCCGAAGTAACTGCCGTCCCGAAGCCATTAACAGGATTCTCAGGGGAAACAACGATGACAATCGGGACGATCAGGCTTCCCGTGCAAGCAGGAGGAGTAACGAAAGTTGTGGAGTTTTCCGTAGCTGATCATCCAGCAATTTACAACGTAATCATGGGAACACTGTGGTTGAACTTGATGCGAGCCGTTCCATCAACATATCATTTATGCGTCATGTTCCCGACTCCTGGCGGAATCAAGATGATATAGGGAAATTAAAAAGAGTCGCATATGTGTTTTTTGGCCGAGCATAAGATGAGGAAGCCCATGGTAGACTCGATCGCTGACAGAAACTTGCCCGCAGTATAAAAATTGCCGATAAGCTCTTATTTGCCTATTTCATCATTTTTGCACCTTCTTTCACCATTCCTCCACCTGGTTCCATCTTTTCCACTACAAATGACCTCCAATGCACCTGATTAACACTCCAAATATGCAAGACTCACTTGGACCTAATGCAAAGTCCTAAAACTCTAAAACAAAGATAAAACACAATTAATCTATCTAAAATGCATGCATAAGACTCTATTCTTGGACCAAAAAAGCATACTAAACATGCAATGATATGAATATATCAACCCCCGCCCCCCACTTATCATTTGCTTGACCTCAAGAAAACAAGAACAAATGAGAGAGAGGTTTGGGGTTTGGGAGTTCACATTTCTTGAAAGAGAGAGAGAGTTGATCAGAAACATATTTCAAGCTCATGGTTCTAGTTACTAGTTCTGGCATGCAATACAAAGAAGACTTTGGATGCAACAAATTCAAACCCTGACCTATACAAGTATTCTTATCCTTCAGCATTTTGACATTCATTAAGTTTTAACCATGTGTATCTAGTGATGGTTATTCAAATGAGCTTGTTTGTCTGAGGGATGAGGTTATGACACAAAGATGGTCTTATTCAATGCTCAGGTGGGTCTCAAGGGATCTTTCTAAAGGAGTAAAATTTAAGAGAAGGCTAAGGGTAAAAAGCAACTGATGCATACAAGAGTAGACTTGTAACACCCGTGTTCGGGAAAACCTTACCAAGTGGGAAAATTAATTAAGGGAGTTATGAGTTATGTAAATCAGAAATGGGGAAAAACCAGGGGGTTAATTGAGGAAGGTCGGATGAGTTTGGTCGGAGGAAATTGGGTTTGGTAGGGTGATTCTGAGCTAAGTCCAGCTTTCGCCGAGATAAATCAAGTTTTGCCGAGCTAAAATCAGCTGGCCGGGATTTTTGGGAAGTTTAGCTGGAAATTCGGACAAGCCAAGTTTTTCATGACTTGGTCGGAATTCGGACAAGGTTTGTCGGGAGCTGATATGTTCATAATTTGCATCATTTAAAATGCATATTTAGGTCCAAACCATGTTTAATATCATGCATTTTAAGTCCTTAGGTTGCATTTTAAGGTTTAGGAACTTGCATTAGGTCCAAGTGAGTTTTTCATAGTTTGGATGGTTAAAACAGGTATTTGGAGAACATTTGGAGTGGAGAAAGTGTTCCAGATGAAGAAATGATGTTTAGAGCCTTGAAAAATGGTAAAAATGGCTTCCCGGGTGTTATCGGCACCAGGCTGTACCAGAGAGAAGGTTTTATCGGCTAAAAAGCTTACCGGAAAGGTTTTCCGTCAACCAAAATGCTTAGTGCTGGTCAACAGGTTTATCGGGTGAAAATCATGTCTTGGTCAATGCCGGTTTGGTGCCAATGCGGTCAAAAATGCTGATTAGAACATGGAGTGGTTCGGTTTCAGTACGTACCACAGGCTACAGGAATATCGGCTAAAAATCACAAGCAGGTACAGAAACCTCGGCCAAAAAGCTTCCCGTGGTACATGAAGGATCAGCATAAATCTCTTGTTCCCGACACGCTTCAAAGATCAACCATCCGGGGAGTCTTAACGTCCGATTCAGCTTACAGGGCCTGCATCAAAATTGGAGACGATCGGGTCACAGTTCCAGAACAGTGAAATCATTGGATTTGGAGTGTGGTTCGGTTTCAGTATGTACCACAGGCTAAAGGATTATCGGCTAAAAATCACAAGCAGGTACAGAAACCTCGGCCAAAAAGCTTCCCGTGGTACATGAAGGATCAGCATAAATCTCTTGTTCTCGACACACTTCAAAGATCAACCATCCGGGGAGTCTTAACGTCTGATTCAGCTTACAGGGTCTGCATCAAAATCGGAGATGATCAGGTCACGGTTCCAGAACAGTGAAATCATTGGATTTAGAGTCGTGAGCTGAGAGTTAAGCTCACCGGAAGACACACCTGTCTCGTTATAGTTTCAAGACCGATCCGATAAGTCACAAAGATTGCGTGGGATGATGGCTTTCCAATCCGATTCAGTTGCCAGGGACTTCATCAAGATTCAATTTCTTTGAGTTCTCTTTCCAGAACATCTAAGATCATCCATTTTGGAGCTATTTTCTGAAAGATACCGTCTCCGGAGCAAACACTGGTCCAAGAGCTTCTTTTTGATTGTTTCAATACACTTCAGAAACGGGCCGTCCGGGAAACCTTCCACTTCCCAAGTGCTAAAGGCTTCTTCAGCAAAGTTTGAGATATTTGAGTGCTCTTTCCACTGAAGTTGAAATCAAGCCATTTGGATCCATATCCTGGACGTTACGCTGCCCCGAATGCAAAGTGGTTTGAGGAGACTTGGAATGTATGAAATGGTTCTGCGACTTGGTTTACTCGCAGCACTTAGAGATTGAATTCTGGAAACGAGCTGCGAGTGGAGATATGTGGGTAAGGCAACTCTGAGCATGGGTAAATATTTCCGAGCTGAGAATATGCTAAGTCCAAAAACTGTGCGACTTGGGCATGCGGGTTGGTCGAGATGAAACCGAGTAGCACATGTGTTCGTGGATCAGACCCAGTTGGGCCTGCGACTTGGAAGTGAAGGAGATCGCACTCATACTTCAAGACCTGTGCTATAGGGGTGTGAGAGTTAGAAAGCAAAAGAACCTGAACTGCACATATGTTCGTGCTTTACACCGAGAAGGAAATGCGGCTCAGTCTACAAGGTTTTAACTAGCAAGATCATTCTCCCAGACTTGTGCAAGTTGGGTGTGCGACTTTGAACTGAACAAGACCAAATCGCACATATATCTTCTCTAGATCGCGTCTTGGTTGTGCGAGTTGAAGAGGAGAAGACCTGAACAGCACATATGTTCGCAGAACAGACCAAGATAAGCATGCGGCTGAAGCTAAAGAAGTTTAGGCGCACAAGACTAGTTTCATGGCTGTACGACTCAGGCCTGCGAGATGGGAAACACTTGACCAAGTCGCACACTTAGGACATTGACTCAGTACCCAGTTTGTCTTGGGTTGACCCGGTCCGAGCTACTAAGTATAAATATGTTTTAGGGTTTTTTCCAAGATCCAAGCTTTATTCTCTCTAATGTCTTTGCCTCTTTTGTGAAAAGACTCTCCTTTGTAAGAGATATCTAATTTTGTGAGTCTTAATCAAGAGAAATCAAGGATCTTTTGTGTTTAAAGCTACAATCCATCATTACCTATCTTCTCCATCTTCATTTCCCATCATTAATCATGCCAATTTACTATACCTGCAAAGGTTTAAGAGAGATTATTATGATTAGTGAGTAGTTTTCTTAATAAGGTTCTAGATATGTAGGTTAGGGTGCTAGAGTGCTATATTAGGACTGCTTAGGGCTAGATCCATGTTTTCATCTCTCTAAATAACTGATCTCTATGCTAGATCCTTACAAATCACTTGTGATCTAGAATCTGGGTTTTTCATGCACCAAAAGCGTTTGTTGAAATTCCTGAAAGAGCTATATTAGAGGTTTATGCATTAATGCTATGATTGTAATGTCCCAACCGTGAGCTAAGACGGCCGGAAATCTAAAGTCACAGTGTGGACTAAGGGATGGCTTGACATGAGAATGGGGACCAAGAGAGGCATTTATGTCGAGACAGAATTGATTTTGGCCGCACAGTTCAAGTTTTAGCCGAGGAAGCTGAATTCTGGTCGGGAAAACGGGGTTAAGGCGGGATGGAAACCGCACAACCAAGAGACATGATGGAACGGATCCCAAGGATATTGGCAGACAAGACCTGGTGTGCATGTCAACTATATAGGGGACAGCCAGCCACCAATGTAAGCAGTAGCACGGGCTACAGATCGGACTAGACTGGGCTGGCTAGAGAGGGGACAGCAAGCCGCCGATGTCAGACCTAGCGTGGGCTAGTGGTCGGACCAGACAGGGACAGGACAGCGCTGCTGCCAGAATTGACCAATCCGGGCCAGTTAGGTGTCAAAACCCACTAAGCCTTAGTTTTCCCTATAAATACCCGAACCATTCAGCCATTTTCTCACTTCTGTTTTAAGCTTTAGAGAGATCAAGTTATAGAGAGATAGTTAGTGAGAAATAGAGTGGTGTAAGGAGCGCGGAGGCGTTTTCCGACGATAGGTGTATCACGGTAGCTAGCGGGAACAGGATCAGTCGGTAAGCTTTAGATTTCGGTTATAAATCTAAATTACCTTAGGCTCGACTTTTACTTAGACAGTGTCTATAGATCCAAAGGAAGTCTCGAAGGAGCGAGCAGGGGATCTAGAGCGTTGGTCCAAGAAAGGTGAGTTCCAAACTTAGGGATGGTGCTGGGGTTAACATGATGGATTTGGATTCAGCGTTTAGGGTTTAGGGTTTAGGATTGAATGATGTTCACCAAATCTCCTGTCTAACTCGTTACTTGGACTGTGGTGATGGATAAATTGGGCAGGAGAGTCTGGACTGGCTCATCAATGAAGGACTTGAAATTGTAAACCAGCTTGGCTCCAACTCTTCCTTGAAAGAAACCGATCTTACACAAATGAGCTTCATTAATCAGGTCAAACCTTGCCTTGTTCTCCTTGAACCTGTACCCCCTTGCCTTCAAGATCTTTGTTACAACCCAACCATGGGCCAGCTTTGCATCCTTCTTTGTTGAACCCCAAATGCACTTTTTGTAGAACATCAAAGACCTTGCTAATTGAGAGGCAAGGCAAGGTGTGTAAGCATATCCTTCATAGGGCTTCCCATCTTCATAAGTTGGCATCAACTGTTTCAGCCCAACACCAAAGAGATTCAGATCACCTTTATGAACTCTCCGAACATCAAGCTTGAAGAAGAAGCTGTGAGAGAGGATCTTGTGGACATATCTCAGCACTGGATTTCTTATCCAAGAGGACTTAGCTGCTCCAGCTGTGTACTTCCTAGAA